GTATGCAGGGAAACTGGAAAGCCTTGTCCCCACCCCCAATGTTAATTTCTCTCGTTCATCTTTGCGTTCTGCAATTACAATCCTGATTACTTTATACATTTCAGAATACTGCAGTGAATAAGATCTGGAACTTGGAAACTAGTATTTGAGATTTTGTTTTGCAGAACTTAATAGCCACAGTTAGCAATCCTGGTTGTTCAAACCATAGTTCAGACATAATGGCAAAAAGAAAGAAAGCAATGAATAAAGTCCTGTTTATCAGAGGGAATTGAAGAGGAAGGAACTTGTGATCACAGTGGGTATTCATCTCAATGCAGCCAAAGAAAGCTATCTGTAGTGTGTGAAATCCAAATGTTTATAACAGCATACTTTTCATGGTTGTTTGCTTCATTTTTAAGCGTTAAAGAGAACCATGGGACCAAATGTCTGATATAAGTTTCTAAAGATCCCAACTATGTGTTTTTCCCCCCCCTCAAAGAAACTTCTGTTGCTGACAGTTATTAGGGAAAACTAAATTTGATCAAGGAATGGTGGTGGTCCTTCTCTCTCTTTTCCACCACTTAACCATCAAGGAGCTATGTAGGAACAGACACAGCTACACAAAGCAAGGTTTTAGGTTTTTAAAAATATTTTACACAAACACTTTGTCACAATGCCTACAGGCATCACACACACAATAAATTCATACCTATATCAAAGATGCAAAAAGAACCCTCAGCCTGTATTCAGATTTCAACAAACAAGTGCCCACTATTGTAAAAAGTGTTCTGTCCTTCATTAGCAATATGGCAACTTGTAGTTGTACATTTCATTATTATTTTTTATCCTGACATTCTGATTTATTACCCAATAATGTTTTTGTTTTCCAGTGAGGGTCAATTAAGTATTAATCCATTACATTAATGAACATCAAAGCAAATCATTACCATTATCTAGCCAATTATATATTCCTGCTAATCTTTTGGAAAAATAATTTTACCAACATGGGAGATCTCAGTTCTCTTACCTGTCAGAGCTTTCCTGTGTGATGTTTAGATTATATACTGAAAGGATGCAAAACCCTAACAATCTAGAGGTGTGCAACTAAGCTTTGAAAATCTTGCTATCTGAGCTCCGTATCTCAAAGATAATAAGTAACATTTCCTAGTGTCCACATACATCTGTTAATAACAGGTTGTTAAATAACAACCACCATTTCAATAAACACTTGTTCCTGAAATGGGAGGGATATCATTCGTCACAATGTTGCAGGATTTCTATTCTTAACAATAGCAAACCAGAAATACACTAGCCTTCTCCAGAATATCTTCAGCACTACAAGTCTTCTATTGAAGCACTAACTTGGTACAGTGGGTTAAGTACATAATTCGTTCCGGAGGTCCATACTTAACCTGAAACTATTCTTAACCTGAAGCACCACTTTAGCTAATGGGGCCTCCTGCTGCTGCCGCACCGCTGGAGCACGATTTCTGTTCTCATCCTGAAGCAAAGTTCTTAACCTGAAGCACTATATCTGGGTTAACAAAGTCTGTAACCTGAAACGTATGTAACCTGAAGTGTGTGTAACCCGAGTTACCACTGTATCACCACTGTATCTTCTGGTACCACTGTACCAGAAGAGCTCAACTGGTCAGACCAAAGGGTCCATCTAGTCTAGAATCCCGTTCCTACAGCAGCCAACCAGAAGCCTATGGGAAGTCTGCAAGCAGAACATAAGTGCAACAGCACTCGATCTCCACTTGCAATTCCTCGCAACTGATGAATTTCATACCAAGTGAATGCAAGGAACTACATGCAGGTAAGCAAAACACTCCATTCCTCCTTTGCTCCCAGGACAAAAAGGCAGTGGTCTGCTGCGCAAGGGGTCAGAGCTCTCCAACACTCCTCTGCCAGCAGACTAGCAAGTTCTGTGGACTTACGTACAAGGCCGCAATAAACAAGTGTGTAAAAGTAAGGCAACCCTGGGTTAAAGGGTCCCTGGAGAGTTATGCAGGACCTGACTCTTTAAAAGGCCATTTTGCACATCGTGGCCACCCACTGTATAACTTCCATTGGCCTGACCATGTCATGAGACTTGTGTGCACAACAACTCACCACACAGAATGTATTATTCCCCCCCCCCCGCAAGCACCACACTTTTTGTGGGGGGGGGAGAGCTCTCAAATGACATTTTAAAAATCACCCAACAGCATAGCAAGCTGCTGCACAGAAATGTATTTCCAATATGACAACAGTGGCAGCCATAATATATAAACTGACCCCAAGGCTCAAGTTAACACAAGGCTGTAAGAGAGAGGCAACTTGGAGATTAGAAGACCACAAGACTGACCAAAGCCAAATTCTATTGATGTGTACAAATGCTTCCAGTGAATAAAGCCTAGGTGATGCCCCTGGGAAAATACAAGACAGCTGTGAAAGTCTCAGTACTCTTACAAACATGGTGTAGCAAATGGCACAGTCCTCCCAGTGCTACTTTTCTGTTTGCTGAACTTATCCAGCAGAACACTGTACTTACACGAGTCAAAGAACAACAATTTTAAAATATGAAATATTTAAATGGTTTCTTTATAAAAAATCTGGGTTAATAAATGTGTGTCATTTTTGCTTGTACAGCAACAGGTGGTGATGCTACTTGCAATGGTAAAACTATTGTATGACACTGAAAGCAAAGAATGCAACTTAATGTGACATCAATGCATCTGGAGATAAAGCACTCCTAATATTATATGGGGAAGCTCATAAAGAACTGTATATGAGCTTTGCAAACACTTTTTAAAATCGCAAAGCTGCTACAGCAAAATCCTTTGTACACCCACAGCATCTTCTGCCAACATCTACAGCAGCAAAGTATCACTATTTACACATGGTTATTATTAAATACAAACAGACAGCAGATAAATCACTCAGCTTAGATGAGAATGGAAAATCCAAGATGGAATGATGTGCTGTGCAGTCAGGGCAAAAGAGAGAGAGAGAGAGAGAGAGAGAGAGAGAGAGGAGAGTTTTATGTCTAGCACCACCAACTTTGCTTAGTTTTGATAGAATTCTCCCAGTTCCCACTGTGGGCACATTTTATGTGTAGTTGCAGAGTTGTGTGAAATGCTTTAATGGGGGGGGGTTGATAAAGAAGATCCTTACAACACAGACATTTTGCTAGCATTTTCACTAGATCTAGTAAACAGAAATGGCATTTGAACCTGTGTTCAATTCAACCTGAAAGACATTTTGAATTGTTTCTTTTAAAGTATTTATGCTGTCAGAAAGTTCATTTTGTTTTGAGTTGGGCTCCACAATTTCAAGTGTTATAAAGAAAAAACAGCACCAGAGTAATTCCTCTGCATCAAGTGTTCTAAATTATGTGTTCATACAACATCTGTATCTGCTGCTAGAAGTGGAGATGCAAAGCTGCATTGATCCAGGTTTTGAAGACTTAATACATGGTTCATATTTTCAGGTATCAAGGGCCTATGTTTAGCACTGCGAAAAGTGCCTCTTCCAAGTTACCTGGAAGCAGTTTTTTATTCTTATAATTCTTTGGTGTGGATTTCTTGGGTGAATTAGAGGATAGGAAGAGTTCCTGCCTAGCAGCAGGGGGCTGGAGCAGAAGACTTCTGGACCCTTCCAAACATGTGGTATCACAGAGATGTCTGGTTCCTCTCTCCTCAACTATACTTCTTTTCCTAGAGATATGCTGCTGAGTATCACCTTTCTAACTCCTGCCAAACTCACTTAGAGGATCTAGATGGAAGTACCCCAAACAAAAGTCATCAAAAGTCAGACTGATGATGCTGGTTGGGCCTTTCAGGACACAGTAGCATATCTCTACAGAAAGGAAGGTTTCAGCCAAAACTCCAAGAAGGAGAACGAGAATGTCAACACAAACACCAACCAAAATCTGATGCTCCTTTGGGACAGAAGGGCCCTGTGGTTCCATGTGTATTTTTATGAAATACAATGAAGGTTTACCCCAGGACCTCCATGACACTTTGCACCACAGCTAGATGTGAAGAACCCCAACACCAGAAGTCACTAAAGTCACATTTAAACCCTTATGTGGCTGTTCTAAGCAAATGAATGAGGCAGGGGAAGGAACTTTCTGAACACAGTCATACCTCTAGTTGCGTCAGGTCGCGGATTCTGTGTGCTTTGCACATGCGCAGGAGCACTCTATTGCGTCATGCGCACATGCAGAAGCAGTGCTCTACTTACGGACTTTTCAGGGTGCGGATGGCACCCCGGAACGGATCGGGTCCGTAAGTAGAGCTACCACTGTACTATGAATGCTCTGGGTGGGGGTGGGGGTGTGTAATATTTTATGATGTTGTTGTATATTCCTTCAAGAAGCTCTCCCTTCTCTAACACAGGACTGGTAGGTTTTTAAAAAATAATAATAATAATATACAAACTGAACTGTGAGAAGAGACAGGCATGGTAAGGCACTTTGTAAAACACTACAGAAATTATCAACAAACTACAGTACTTAAAAGGAACAGAGCGGAGAGCTGGAGCTGCCAGTCACCAGCCTGCCTCTCCAGCTGAGGTGAAGAGTTTGGGGGGAGGAAAAGAGGAATAAGCAACTCTACCACTCACGCACCCCAAACAAAACCCAAAAGCTGGTATCGTAGAACTTATCCCCATCTGGGGCTATCGCAACCAAGCAGCGTTGTCCGAGAAGATCCAGGTAACCCTGGAAAGAGTAGACGCAAACGCACTCCCAAGTTGCTGCGCATGTTGTGCTTTGTGTGAGGCGGCTCTCCCCCCTTTCCAAGTCCACACCGAGGGGTCCTGGACCCTCGCAAAGCCCGCGCCTCCTCCGCCACCCTCAGCCTGAGGGGGACATAGTAACGCGAGGGGGGCGTGAGGCGCCGCTGCCCTCCGGGGTTCCTGCAGGTCCGTCCCCACGGCGCGCTCGCCTCCCCTTCCCCCAGCTCGCGCTCCAGCCAGCTCTTTCCCGCCCCCATGCCCCGCTTCCTGTGGGTGCGCGCCCGGCGCCGACTCACCCGCCGAGCCCAGGAGCAGCCACAGCAGCCACATTGCCCCCAAGCGCCACGGCCGCTCCGGAAAGTTTTAAGGCTCTGCCGAGCGCCTCCGCCTCTCGGCCCAAGCCCGGCCCAGGCCCAGGCGGCTGTGCGGGCGGGGAGGGGGAAGCGGGAGGAGGGCCAGGGGGAGGCTCCCTCCTTCCCCAGCAGCCGGACCCTCACGCCCAACCAGCCAGCCAGCCAGCCTGCCTGCCGTCTACGCGCTCGCTCTCTCGCTCTCCCGTTCGCGCGCAGCCTCTGGAGCGCAGGGTGGCGAGGCTACTTGGTGCCATTGCACCGCCCTCGCGGCGTCCCTGAGCCCAGGCGGCCGCCGCCGCGCCCTGCCCTGCCCCGCGGCGCCCCTGTTTCCCGAGCGCCGTCTGCCCGGCTCCGAGCAGGGCTCCAGTTTGAGAAGGGGCCCCGAGCTCGCTCCGCTTCCCCTCCTCGCGTCTCCGTGGACAGGCTTACTTTGGAGTAACAGCCGCCGGACTCAGGGGCTTGCCCTCTGAGCAAAACGTGTGGAGGCTTAGCTTGCTTGGAAGTAAATGTGTTCAGGCTTAGCTTGCCACTCAAGTCAGTGGAACTTAAGAGTAAGTCCGGCTAACCCTAAGACTAAATGAACTCTAGGGAAGGCAAAATGCTGTTGCTTTCTGGTTCACCTACCTAGCCACCAAAAGGATCTCAAAGGTCATTTTGTCTGGGCGTCTCCTGTGCAGTACTTCCTATGGAACCTGCAAAATATCCCCTGAAAAATCCAGAGTACACAATAGACTGCTTGCTCTTCCTTCTCAGTTTCCATTTGCATTTAACTGACCTCTCCTATATTGCACACATCCTTAAACATGCACACATGTTATTAGATGCCAGGAATGGACATTCACCCTCTATTTTGTGCCGAGCAGAGAAAAGATGCAAAGAGCTTCTTCCTGTGAGTGAGTGCAGTGGTGGCTGATATAAGTGCCCTTTTTCTCACCAATGTGGCTCCATCTTTTCTTCTCTTTTAAAGGTGGCAGCCATGTTGTGTTAAGCCACACACTCCTGCTGCAACTATTTTGGGACTGGGACACCCCCCCCACTTTCCCAAAATTCCAAATGGGCCAGTGCAAAAGAGGGTAGCGTGCCAAAAAAAACCCTGAGAGCATTCAAAATGAACGGCAAAATAAAAGAGAATTGTGTCTCAAAATCCTGGGGAAGGGGAATGGGCAACCCCTGGTTTTCTTCATCAGCAGGTGATTCAAACCTTCTACTTTGGTCTTGATACGTGGCCATCCAACCTCTGCTTACAAACCTCTAAGGAAGTAGAACCCACCACCTTCTGAGGAAGTCAGTTCCACTGTCAAGCAGCTTGCACCATCAGGAAGGTATTCCTGAAGCATAGTCTATATATATTGTGGTGTTGACTGGCTTCTCGCACAGTGGGCCAAAAGAATGATCCTGCAATACCTTCCGCACACAAACAGGCTTGCAGGAGAGGATGGAAAGTATGGCTTCTTGTGACTGAATTGCTTTTGTTGTTTCCTGACTGTTCAGGATATCCGACACAGGGCTAGTTGTGTAAATATGCATTATTCATTAATAAGGATACCCGGTGACCTGATTTTGTCAGGACAGGAAAAAGTGCTGAATTATTGAGAAGGAGTCAGGGAGAGAAGGAGCATACAAGCACAGTGCTGAACTCTTTTCTTATTTATTTTGTTACTTCAAGTTTCCATTCATGAGTGACTGTAACTCCATAGAACTCCTGTACACCAATGTAGGTTGGTCAATTGCTACTTTCTGTGGTTTGTTATTATTACAATTTAAGGAAGCCCTGGAGCAGTACATAATCCGGTTTGCAATTATGTGAACAGCCAGCCAAGCTACTGAGGTTTCCATCCCATAATGCACACATATTTAGTAGGCCCCAGCATACTTACTTCTGAGTAAACACATCATATGCTTGTTTTCCAGCTTTTGTATCTTTGCACATTTGAAAGCAGGAATGAGATGGGAGCCTATGAAACCTACACTCCTGTTCCTTTTCACAGTTCAGCCAATCTCTCTTGTTTTCTTCTGTGTCAAAAAGCATATCTGCTCTCATTCTTCATCTGTTGATCTCACATTTATCTTCCTGGAATCTCTTGTTGACTGCCAGTAATGGAGTTTTTCATCATAACTAATCAATCAGAATTCTCTTGGTGAATTTACAGTCTGTCTAAAGTAGTCAGATTCTCCAAGGTTCATGGTTAAGGAAATATGTGCAGTGCATTTTCACAGCTTATGTGTGGGCACATGGACCAAATGTTTGTGAACCAAATCCTGATACATCTGATACATCCCAAGTTTCATTAGGTTTCACGTATATATTTTTTCTTTAATCAGTAATAATTAAAGATTTAAGGCTCACTGACTAGGGCTTTGGCTCCGAAAGACTGGTACGTGTGCCCAGCAATGTCAACGCTTCTTTCATAAAATTTTCCCTTTTTTTGTAATTCAGGGGAAATACAGATAATTTTGGAATACAAGAAATTCAAAATGCCAGCTTGCATTTATTATTAAGAGGCAATTAGAGTTTGTTCAAATACTGCATTTGTAACATTCTAATCAGCAGTCTCACATCAAACCTGTTTGATAGCAGTCTCAAACCAGTCTTACATCAAACCTGTACAGTACAGTGGTACCCCAGGTTACAAACACCTCGGGTTACAAACACTTCTGGTTACAGACTCCGCTAACCCGGAAGTAGTGCCTCAGGTTAAGAACTTTACCTCAGGATGAGAACAGAAGTTGCGCGGCAGCAGGAGGCCCCATTAGCTAAAGTGGTACCTCAGGTTAAGAACAGTTGCAGGTTGAGAACAGACCTCCAGACCGAATTACGTTCGTAACCAGAGGTACCACTGTACTAATATTTATAGTTAAACCATTTCTCTTGTCTTTCTGCAGAACTGCAAATGAAATTGTTAATATCTGGTGGACCAAACTCACTCACTCACTTATGTAATTTTCCACTGGTCTCTATAATGCACAAACCAAATATATTTTAACATGGTATAGCCTAAAGACATGTGATAAAAGTTCAACAACCTTGCTGAAGCTAAGCAGGTCTGGGGATGGATGGGAGATAATCTGATAACTTTAGGTAGGCTGCCTTCAGCTTTATAAAATGGAATAAAAGTGTTTTAACTAAATAAATAATAAATAATATGTAAAATAGGCTGCTTCCCATACATATGGATTGAAGACACTAATTTGGACTTCTGAGTATAGGAGTGAATTGATAGTCTTTTAGGGTATGTAAAGATAATGTATTTGAGAAACTTTATTTGCACACAGATAAAGAAAAAAAACATACACATGAAAAATAAAAAAAAAGGCATAACTATGATTGCATTACAGATGTTTATTTTTCTGTCACAGTTAAATAGGTTTAACAGGTATCTGTTTTTCTGTCCCACCTTGAGGCTTTTAACCATGACCCGCAGTGCCTCTATCATACCGCCCTCAAGCCTTTGCAAAGCTGCCGTATGTACACAGCTTTATTCCCAGAAAAGACCTCAGAATACATTTAACAGGAGCATGAAACTACTGAGTAACTTTATTTCAGCCAAGAACTCAATTCTTTATGTAATAGCCTAAAGCTGCCAACTGGTTTTTAAAACTGTCACCAACTAATCTGCAGAAAAATACTGCTGGGTACAAGCTGAGTTCGTGTAATTCATTTTTAATATAGCCAACTGAGAAGCCTGGGTTCTAGAGATTTATTGATGAGGATTTCATATAATTTGGAGGGATGAATGTTTTTCATTATTATTTTAATACCTAGCATTTTTTTGTTGTTGTTATAGATTGAGTGAAGCTTTGCCCATCAGTCATTAAATTCCAAGTGCTTGCAGTTAATTTCTGGAGCTGAAAATGGCTATTCGCTGCAGGAATTAGTGCCAAAAATAAAGAAGATATTCTAGCCACTAGGACTATGAGCTCTGTGGGACAATAAGTTTGTTTCAAATCTTCTCTTCAGGCAGAATAACACTGTAGTTTGAACATCTTGATAAGCCTGTCGTTGAGAGAGAGCAAAAGCAACACTTTTGGAATTGCTCTTAATTCTTATCTTAATTTTTAAAGCTTAGACAGAACATAAATACAGAATGCTGTGTAAGCTTTTGTAAAAGAAAAATAAAACCTAGCTACGGGATTGTTTTTAAATTGTATGCCTGTGTATTTCATATTCCCATTGGGTTCCCTTTACTATAATGAAATATATTTCCCCTTGAACCTCCCGTTTCTAAACAAAGCTCCTTTCCCATCATCCAGTGAAGTAATACTAACCCTGAATTTATAAGCGTCTCTGTTGCTTATTGTGAAGCTACATTTAATACTATTAGATGTGATTAAAACACAATACCTGTGTTGTGCAAGTGCTAGCACTTTTGCACCAAAGAGGGGCATCTCTTGCCAGGTTTGAAGTTTATCTGCCATGGGCTGCATTTTTGAGAGAGGTAGGGCTGTAGTACAAGATACCCGAAAGGGCCCCTTCCATTCAATTTTCTGATAGATTTTAAAGACAATGCATACCATTTCAAAACATGGTAACCATATGCCATTTTCCTCCTTGTCAAACATGCTATAATGTACAAGAGTTGAAATGAGCATCTCTAAGGCTCAAAGACATCAATAATTGATTCTAACAACTGTGGGGGGGAAGGAAGGTCACACAAGGACACTTTACCATTCCCTCCTTCTTCCAGCCTCTTTCCTCATAAAAAGCCCTTCTGATGAGTCAGGAATGGGATTCAGGGGAGAAGGGGAGGTAATTGACCAAATTCTGCTTCATGCACAGAATGTGGCTGACTCCATTTTGTTTGAAGCAACTCCTATTTTCTCCAGCAGCCCACTCTAGCTCATCTCATGCCCTTTAGGAGGGTCCCCTGATTCACCAGAGAGGCTTTTCTGAGGCTAAGTCCCCTTGTAGAACTCAAGTTTAAGTGTTTGCAGATACCCACTGCTGTAATGGACTAGTGACGTCCTCTTTCTGAGTTTTCTCGCATGAGAATCCTAGCTTAAATGTTTGTGGACACTTATTCCTGGGTTAAACTTAATAATAAAAAAAAAAGAATTAAGATAAAATATATGGATTTCATTCCAGTTCTAAAATACATAAATGCACTCATGTAATCACACAGACTCCAATGTGCCCCAGCCCTGTGCATTAATGTGAG